GGCTAAAAGATAATATTTTGAAAAACAAAACCAAACCAGATCTTACAGCATTTTTTTTTTTAAAATCAGACAGTAAGTTCGATTAGAGTGAGGGGTATTTGTGTGTCTCTGTGTATGTTTTCTTGGCATTATAATATTTTATATTGTGTCTGCAGGCTTTTTCCACTAGGCATTTGGCATTCAGACTGTGTTCTCTTGATCCTTTGTTTTGGTCTGTGCAGTTGGTTTTTATTGTTTTTTAATTATTTAGTTGCAGTCATTCTTCATCACATGCAAGTCATGTTCCTCTGTAAACAAATAGACGCATCTACATTTAACTGGTCTCTTGTAAGACTTTTTATTGCAGCTATTTATTTTTATTAGATTGCCTTAATTTTGGGGGTAGGATTGTGAATATAAATTTGGGACCCCAGCCTTGAAATGTAACCAGATCCTGGCCATTATTGTGAGTGCAGCAAAGTGGTTTTGGGCATAACTGATTAATTTCATATAAAAGCAGATAGGAGAATCTTCAGACTAATACCAACATCTTACTACTTCAGACTAATACCAACATTAGAATAGTGGAGATCATACACAATTCCCAACATCTACAAGTTTAATAAGAGTCAATTGTCTAAAGAAACTGGGGGCAAGTGGAGGAACTACTAGGTTGCAAACCACTGTGGATTTCAGTGTGATGGCTGGGGAACTTTAGCATATTATTCGGGATTTACAACTACTTATTATCATGATGACCACACAAGGAGGTTGATATTTTACATATTGGAAAACTAATGCCCAAGAGGTCAGTGACTTTACTGAGGCCTCAGAGTCCGTGTCAAAACTGGGAATTAAAGTGTCTTGGTACAGAGCTATGCATGTAGTCCACTAGACTAGATAACCCCTTATGCCTCTGAGCTGCTCTCAGTTGTGGCCAGAGGTCACAATGGGAGAGGACAGGAGTTAAATGAAGATAGCCATCTGGAAGGAAGCTTGCAGGGTATTCAGTGCCATCTGTGACAGTTCAGCTATAGTGCCACTCTGCTCTGAACTTGTCTGGAGTCAAATAACTGATTATTCAGGTCCTCCAAAGCCCTTGTGTTTAGGAGTGGACTAGATTAGTGAGAATTTCAATCTTACGCATTGTGTTTTCATAACTGTTTGTACACAGACAAAGATTGGGGGCTTTTAAAAAGGCTGAAAGCAGGCTTGCTGCTGGGGAGAAGGAAGGGGACCAATTGCCTCAGAACCCAACAATTCAAATGGGCACATGGCTCTTTGCAGCTGAAGCTGCTACTGCAGGAACATCCGGAGCCCTGGGCCCTTTAAATCATCACTGGAGAGCCATGTGGAGTGCTCCAGGTGGCTCTGAGGATTTGGTGGGGGCTGGCATGGTGCACTCTGGGTGGCATGGAGGGTTGGCTCTCCCTGTCCCTTCCGCCTGAGGCCCCACCCCTTCCTGGAGCACGGAGCTGCCCCTCCCCAACTTGCCTAGGCACCTGTCAAGGCTGTCAGTGCCCCTGGATAAAAGTATGTTTTGCTTGTAGAGATCGCCCAAATAGGAAGAGACTGGGTGCAGGCCAAAGAAGTGCTCTTCTCCTTATATAGAAGGCAGCCCCCAGAGAGTTACATCACTGTACGGTTGATGTGGGGCCCATACCCTCTCACACCCAAAGAGAAGAAAACAGAAGCCAGCAAGTTTTCCCTTGCTCTGTGAAAGATATGAGGATTCTAAAGGGGAAAAGGGCAGCATGGAGAAGGAGGCCCCTTTCATACTTAGCTGCAGACAGATGAAGCGAGAGTAGAAACACATCAGGTTGCAAGTGCTGTGCAGCATCAGGGCACTGCCCTGTGCTAATTGTGTGGCACTTTGTGACTTAATTTAATGGTGAAGCAGCTCTCCTGCAATTCAAGGATGAATCTCCCAGTGCTGATATCAAGAGGAGGTGTGTGGGCTGAGATGGAGGTTGGGTGCAGAAGGGAGCTTGGGGTAAGGGAGGGAGTTTGCATAAGGGAGGCAGTTGTGACCTGGGGCACTGGACTGGGGTGGAGGGAGTTGGATTGTAACCTAGGGCAGGGATTTGGGTTGTGTGCTAGGGCAGAAGGGTACTGTGATCTGGGGCAGCAGATTGGGATGCTGGATCTGGGAAGGGATATGGGTACAGGAGGGAGGCACAGGATTTGGGTATGTGGAGTATGGGGCAGGAGTGGGGGCAGAGGGATGGGGAAGGGAGAGACTCTGGTGCCAGAGACAGGCTCTGGCCAGGAGACTTACCAACCAGTAGCCTTCCTGAATCAGCCTACCTGCCTGCCAGTGTTCCCTCTAAGCTGCACAGCACAGCTTCACAGGTGATTAATCAGCCCCACCCAGTCATTCAGCTCTGTGCAGGGAGCCCTAAGCCTCTGACTGGGTGGGGCTAATTAATCACCTGTGAAGCTGTGCTGCCAAGGCACCTTCCCCCAGATAGGCAACAGCCTTGTGCTCTGGAGCCCCTTGTGCTTCATGTTTGCCTGTTATTGAAACAGGCAGCTCCAGCCAATGGGATTGTGCGGGGGGTGGGCGCAGCTCCTAAAGCTTTTCTCCCTCCCCTCTGGACTCACAGTTTTTAAAGAAAAACTACCCTTCAGCCGCGTTTCTAAGTGGCGTGTGGATGGGGAGAGGCAAGCTCGGCTCTCCACAGCATCCACGGGCCAGATCAAATGGCTTCTATTTTGCCCAGGCCTGACTTGCAGAATAGTACTACATTTGAGCTAGAGATGTGAGTCCCAGCTCATGTAGCTGTACCAGCACTAGCTCTGCCTGAGTTGGCACACTAAACATATCTGTATAGCTGGGGTACCATGGGTAGCATGTTAGACTAGCTGGCTGAATACAAAGCCAGGAGTCCAGGAAAATACATAGTTTGGCAGCTAGTGCAAGTCGCTGTCCAGGCAGATGGTTACACTGCTGTTTTTAGCATAATAGCTGAAATGGCATCAGCTCCAGAAAGTGTATGCAAGCTGGAAGTAACACCATCCAGATCAAATGTAGACATGGCATGAAAACAGGACAAACATTTATTCAGCTAAAGAACTGAAGTATATTACACATGTTGGCATTCAGGGGTTGAGCAAACATTGACACAAGTATGGTTTGAGCTTCAGATTTGTGTACTCAAGTTAATATAACTAAAGTGGTTGAATTATTTCTTTAGAATCAGGATGTTGTTTCCCAGGAGTTTCCCCTTGATCTTGGGAGATTAAGGCTGTTCTATGATATGTCCATGTTTGTAAATTTCTGAAACAAATTGCCTTTAGGCTGACATACCGTTGTACTATTGTGGATTAATCAGGTTTGTTATTGACTGGGAATTACATCCCTCCTGTTTCAATTTACAGAGTACAGACAATGAGTTTGGGGGTAATACTACTCTGATGCTAGTGTGTAGGGGGGAGGTTTCTATCACAGAACCAGCTGGTTCCACTGTGGATTGGGGTTGGGTGAGGTAGGGTTCCAAAGGATCAGCAGTTTATTTCTGTTTATTTTAGATACTTATATGGTCCCCGTTACCACATGTATGTATCCTCACAACACCCCTGTGAGGTAGGGAAGTGCTATTGGCCTCATTTTACAGATATGAAACTGAGGTGCAGAGATACTAAAAGTTACTGAAAGCAGGGGACTTGATTAGATGTCCTCTTGGGGTCCCTTCCATTCCTAGGATTCTATGATTCCTCCCCCCCACCATGCAGGAATTCTGTGATGGAACAAGGAGTTGAACTTGGGTTAAAACTAGAGCCTGAGCCTGCACATACTTACACTTGTATTTACAAACCATCTAATTTCCCTTGTGATGGTTTCCTCATAATGCAGTGGAACAGCATGTGTGTGTCAGGGCTTCTAGTATTTCATTCTACATAATGGAAAATCATCAGTCCATGCTAATGTACCAAGAGGATTTTGTATTATATTTACACACACAAATTGCATTCAGGGCATTTATCCTGCCTTCTGACACATAACAGACAAACAAATATCTTAAAAACGTGGGAGGAAAGCAAATTTGACTCAAGGAAATATATTTATTGTATATTAAAATAAATTTTAAAATAGTGGCAATGGAGCTATTAGTAATATTGAAATGGAATTTGTAAAACACAGTTAGTAATGCATATGTATCCAATCAACAAAGATGCTAGTCTCAAATGCCTCAGCCAAATTTTGCTTTTGGATGCATATTTAAACAAACAATTGGTAAATTACCTTTTAACATTAGTTGGCATTCAAACAGGCAATCAGTTTTACTTGCTACATTCCAAGGCCTGCAATAAAATCCACAAAGACAGACCCTTGTACCTGCGCCATAGTTTCATCAACTGCAGTGAGATTCCATTTAAGCACAAGCGTTAGCCCACACAGATCCAATTACAAGATCAGAACAGAAAATCACATGCATCAAACATCATGGCTGTGTCTAGACTGGAAAGTTTTTCCGGAAAATCAGCAGCTTTTCCGGAAAAACTTGCCAGCTGTCTACATTGGCCATTTGAATTTCCGGAAAAGCACTGACGATCTTATGTAAAATCATCAGTTCTTTTCCGGAAAAACTATGCTGCTCCCGTTCGGGCAAAAGTCTTTTTCCGAAAGACTTTTGCCCAAAAGGGCCAGTGTAGACAGCATAGTACTGTTTTCCGCAAAAAAGCCCCGATCGCGAAAATAGCGATCGGGGCTTTTTTGCGGAAAAGCGCGTCTAGATTGGCCATGGATGCTTTTCCGCAAAAAGTGCTTTTGCGGAAAAGCATCCTGCCAATCTAGACGCACTTTTCCGAAAAAACGTTTCCGTTAAAAGCATTTTCGGAAATTCATGCCAGTGTAGACGTAGCCCATGTGTATGACTTCCAGTGTAACATCTACTGCACAAATGAAAATCAGTTTTCATATGATTATGTTCAGTGCACCATGATTTATTAAGCATTAAAACACATGGGTTTGATAGATTTTTTTGAAGAGGAAAAAAAGTCATAATGACGGGTCTTACCATTTTTGTCTGCTCTTCTTAATATCTAAATAAAAAGAGAAAGGAATCATTTTCTGTATATACTGTATGAAATTGCAGATTTTAACTAATGAGCATTTACTTTTTTTTATTCTGCCATCATATTTTTGCAGTGCAGTAGCAAGAGGGGCCCCCAGTTTGTTTTTGTTCCTCTCTCACGCTGAGCTTTACTGACAAATGCTGGGCACATCTACAAGGTTGGACATATATATCACTGGAGTTATACAATGCACTTGACAGCAATTAAAATATCTAAACCTGAAACAGGAAAATAAAATCTTTGCTCTGAAGTGGTTATAATCTCATGAACAAGCGAACTTACACTGAAATAACTCAGTTTTAATTTGTGATTTCAGTTCAAGTCTATATGTGAACACTCATTTCAGAACACAAGTATTCTACGTCAATTTATCTTGATTTGGTACCGGTAAGCTAAAAAGAATGCAGACTTGCACCAAAATTACTAGAGCTATGAATTAAAAAGCAATTTAATCATTTTGGTGTAAGTTGGACAGGGTATGAATGTTACAGTGCAATCAGTGTAGGAACCATATTGCTCAAGATCATCTCATCTAAAGAAGGGGATTTTGCCCACAAAAGCTCATTATACTCATATAAGTCTCTAATGTGCTACAGGACTACCTTTTGTTCTGGGGTATATCTACACAGAAACATTATTTCGAAATAACTAGTGTTATTTCAAAATAACTCAGTCCACATCTACACAGCAGGCAGTTATTTTAAAATAATGTTGAAATACTGTCAAGCTGGAGGACTTCTTACTCGGACTCCTGTAACACTTATTGTATGAGGAATAAGGGAAGTCGGAGGAAGAGTGCTCTATTTCGAAGTAAGTGCTGTGTGGACTCTCCCAATTTCAAAATAAGCTACGCAATTGATGTAGCTCAATTTGCGTAGCTTATTTCGAGTTAAATCCTGCTGTGTAGACACACCCTTACGGTATGTCTAGACACAATTTTTATTTCAGGAGAAGGATGCAAATACCGCAGCACATTTGCATACTTCCTCTGCTTTTTTTTTCGGAAGACGCTCTTGCGGTATTTACCCGTGTCTATACATGGCTGAATTTTGAAATAAATCCCTATTTTGAAAGACCCCTTATTCCTTGAGGTTCATAGGGGTCTTTCGAAATAGGGGTTTATTTCTAAATTCATCCACGTGTAGATATAGGTAAATACTGGAAGAGTATTTTCTGAAAAAAAAGTGGAGGAAGTATGCAAATGTGCCATGGTATTTGCATCCTTCTCCTGAAATAAAAACTGTATGTAGACATAACCTCACAGACTAACACAGTCTGTGACTGTGTAATGCAATGGGTAGATCTTAGAGCCTCTGACAGGTGATCCTGACTGGTTTGGCCAAGAGGTATGAAGTGCTGATATTTCAGCTGCCCCTACCCCCACTGCTGCTCATCTCTTGCCCTTTGCCTTGGAGCTGCCTCTCCCCCTGTGGAGCCTCCTGTTTTCTGGGCAGGGGAGGGAAGGAAAGGAGGGGTGCTGATGTCAAGGTGCCCCCTCCCACTCTATCCTTTCTCCACAGAGCAGAGAGGGGGTACAACAGGACTTGGGATGGAATTTGCTACCTGCTTTAGGGAGTGCTTCAGAGTCAGGGCAGGAGTGAGCCCTGCCTTAGCCCCACTGTTCCACCAACCAGGAGCCCCCAGTTGTGCCCAGCTGGAGCCCACATCCCGAAACCCTACCCTAGTCATGAACCCCCCTCTTGCATCCCAAACCCCGATCACTCCTTCATCCAAATGCTGTCCCAGAACCTGCACCTAGAACCACTCCTACATCCCAACTGCCTGCCCCAAGAGCAGCTCAGAGCCCCTCTCACACTCCAGATTCCTTAATCCAAGACCAGAGCCTGCACCCCAATGCACTGCCCCAGCCTGATGAAAGTGAGTGAGGATGGGCAAAAGAGGGAGGATGGAGTGAGCAGGGGCAGAGCCTCAGAGAAGTGGTGGACAGGAGGTGGGGCAAGGGTATTTATATTTGAGGTAGGTCTTGGATAGCACTTAAATTCAAAAAGTGTTCTGCTTTAAAAGATTGGAGACCACTGGTGTAATGGAATGTTCAATTGTGTTATATTTTCAGCCATTAGGTGGCACTGTGTAAAATACTTCACAAACAGAGGATTCAGAGGGGTAGCTGAGTTAGTCTGTGAACACTACGGTCATCTGAAGAAGTGGGCTGTGCCCACGAAAGCTCATGATACCATCTAAATGTTTTGTTAGTTTTTAAAGTGCTACCAGACTATTTGTTGTTTTTTAAGTTTATCACAAACAGAGCTCAGGCATACCTGGCAGAACATGAAAGGATCAAATGTGAACATATCTGGTATGTAAAAGCAAACTCTGTAGCCAGTCTGTATTTGGTATAGAAAAACATGACAAGGTGTCAGGAGTAAAGTAAGAACATAAACAGAAGGAAAACAGCAACAAAGGTTGCAGGATCTCTTCAACATGCCTCTTGTCAGTACCCAAGGGAACTTCTGTTTTGACAAACCTTGGGAATGAACAGACTGAAAACCATGTTTGCAAGATTTTGCATTGCAACCAAGTTGCCCAGAGAAACTAGAGATACATCGATATTATCTTTAATTTATGCTATGGGGAAGCAGGCAGAGCATATCCTTAAATCATTTGACTTCAGTGAATACAATCATGAAGGTGACTATGAAAAGATTCTGGCTATGTCTGATAAATACTTTATACCTCAGAGAATCACGTTTTAGGAAAGAGCATGTTTTCACCAAATAATTCAAGAATCAGGGGAAAATGTTGAATGTTTTATAAGAACTCTGCATGCATTAGATTGTGATTTCGGGTAATGGGAAACATGAAACTACGTTTACACTGCCCAGTCTTGCACAAGAACATATTGAAATGAGGCGCAGAGATGAATATCGCCATGTCTTATTTGCATACATAATGAGCCACCATTTGCACAAGGGGCTTTTGTGCAAGAGCCGTTCTGCCATTTATTTTCAGGCAGAACAGCTCTTGTGCAAGATGGAGTTTTTGCACAAGAAGGAGCAGTGTAGACTACTCCTTCTTGTGCAAAAGCCCCCTGCGCAAAATGGTGGCTCGTTAGGTATGCAAATGAGGCACCATGATATTCATCACCGCGCCTCATTTGCATACGTTCTTGTGCAAGATTGGGCAATGTAGACATAGCCTGAGTATTTAATAATTATAAAAACCCTGAGGCAAGGAAAGAGAACTCCCAGGCATAGAGGGGCAAATTTCAGCTTACTTATTCACAAGAAGTGGAAAAAAGTCATATAGCAAGATCATATGGACCTTCAGCCAGAGGTGTGCTGTGTAATACTTGGACATATGAACAGTTTGCAGATCTTTGCTGCACCAAAGCAATCAGGGAGTTAACTCATTACACACAGACAAGCAAGAACCATTGTTTCAGGGATATATTACTTGTGATGACACAGAGCCTGTTTGAAGAGTAAAATTGAATGTGGCAGGACTACTGACTGACTCAGGAGCTGATATTACACTCATCTCAGAGAGGGTTACAATCACCTTCATCCCCTTCAGAGACAAAGTCACATGACACAGCTCTGAGTACCCCTGGAGGTACCTCTGAATTGCTTGGGCCACAACATGGCAGCAGAAAGATTCAATTTGTCAGAATCCATTTCTGTGACATCCTACAGAAATATGTAGGCACATGGAATGGGCAGTGTTTTCCAAATGAGCCTGAGTATTTAGGATAAGTCGAGGGGTTTGTTTTTAAGCCAGTTAGAATGAGGCCTGCCAGTGAGCAGTGGAGAAGGGGCAACTGCCTAGGGACAGAGTGATTTAAAAGGGATGAAGCTCCCTAGCTGCTGCCACAGCCACTGGCAGCACAGAAGGGCTAAGGCAGGCTTCTTTCCTCCCTTTACTCTGTGCAGTTACTGAAAGCAGCCAACATATCCATAAGACCATAAGAACAGCCATACTGGATCAGACCAAAGGTCCATCTAGCCCAGTATCCTGTCTGCCGACAGTGGCCAATGGCAGATGCCCCACAGGAGCGAACAGAAACAGGTAATCATCAAATGATCCCTCTCCTGTTACCCATTTCCAGCCCCTGACAAACAGAGCCTAGGGACACCATTCCTACCCATTCTGGCTAAAAACTATTGATGGACCTAACCTCCATGAATTTATCTAGTTGTTTCTTGACCCCTGTTAAAGTCCTGGTGTTCACAGTCTCCTCTGGGTAACAGGATGACTGCGCTGCATGAAGAAAAATGTCCTTTTGTTTGTTTTAAATCTGCTACCTATTAATTTCATTTGGTGACCCTAGTTCTTATGGGAACAAGTAAATAACTTCTAGTATGTCTACACTTGCACCGTCTTTTGAGAGAGGGATGCAAATAAAATTTGAAATTGCAAATGAAGCCAGGATTTAAATATCCCATGCTTCTTTTGCATATTTGCTTTATGGCACTATTTCAAAATAACAGACACTGTTAAGACGTGGTTATTTCAAGAGAAAACCCTTCTCTCGAAATAACCCTTACTTCTCATACAATGAGGTTTACCAGTTATTTTGATAGAAGGGTTTTCTCTCGAAATAACCGCATCTTAACAGCATCTGTTATTTCAAAACAGCGCTATTTTGAAATAGCACCATAACGCAAATATGCAAATGAAGCATGGGATATTTAAATCCTGGCTTCATTTGCAATTTCAAATTTCATTTGCATCCCTCTTACCCTTCCTTATTAATTTTCTCCATACTGTCATGATTTTATAGACCTCCATCATATCCCCCCTTTCCTCTTTTCTAATCTGAATAGTCCCAGTCTTTTTAATTTCTCTTTATCTGTCTGTCATCTGTTTCAAACCCCTAATCATTTTTGTTAGCCTTTTCTGAACCTTTTCCCAATGCCAATATATCTTTTTTGATATGAGGCAACCACAGCTGTATGCAGTATTCAAGATGTAGCATGTACCCTGGACTTATACAGAGGCAATAAGAT